TCAGAGGAGGGGGAAGCTGGCCTGGGCTTGCCATTTTCCACCGAGGCTGGGGCACGTGGCCTGGGAAGACGTGCAGGAGTCCATCAAACTGCCCTGCTGTGGGCCTGGCGCTGGCGCTTCAAGGCTGGGGCGGCCTTCGAGGGGAAGAGTCAGAGCAGCAGCTGTTTGTCCTGAGGGCTCTGTGGAACCTCTAGCCTCAGGGGCAGTCCGTCTCAAAATATCGGAGCCACGCCCGCTGGGTGGTCTGCGAAGGCTGTTCCTTCCCTGTGGTCATCCCTTCGGGCCCTGTGCTAGAGGGGGGCGGTTTTCCTGTGCCATTGCTCACAGCTGGGGGGGTGTTTGAGTCTAGCAGGGCCCAGCCCTGATCACTGCCCCCCTTTCCCACAGAGCCTTGGCCTCGCTGCTGTGCTCCTGGCTGGACGGGTATTCCCAGGACTTTGTGGGGCTGGAGCCCCGCCTGCGGGAACAGGTGCTGGGCTGGCTGCACTGGGCCTGGGGCAGCAACTCAGGGCCCGAGAAGAGCCTCCCTGACGCCTCCAGGGAGAGAGACCCCGCAGCCCAGGACAGACAGGAGGAGGGCTCCACCCAGGAAGGGGACCCCGATCCCCACTACATCCTGGGACTCCAGGCAGAAGATGTCGCGGCTCACCTCACTGCGCAGGATGCTGTGAGTGCGGAGGGCCGCGGTGGGAGGGACTAGGTCTTGCAGCGCAGCAGAGGGACCCCTGTTCAAGCTGTGGCATCTCCCATGTGGGCCAGCTCCCTTTGCTTCAGAGGCGTGGGGAGGAGGACAACTTTGGGGTGTGCCTTGCCAAAGGGTGAATGGCTTATATGGGGTTCAGGGCAGCCAGGCTCCTAGCCGGGCTTGGAGGGCTAGGAAAGGGCCAAATTTCTCTCCCCACCCCTCATAAGTACAGGGTGTCCTGTTGAGCTCCTCCCCTCTTTTGGACCATTACCATTGGCCGTGTTCTTTCAGGTCCATTTGTTTCCACCATGAGGACTAGAACCTAGGTTGCTCTAAATGAAAGCGAACATTCTTTTCCCTCGTGTATCTGCTGTGCAGTTGCGTGGTCTATTTTGTGGGGGGGAGGAATTTCTGGGTGACTCCCCTCTGGTTGTTCCCATCTAGGACCTCTTCTTGCGCCTCATCCCCCACGAGTGCCTCGGCTCCACGTGGTCTCAGCGCGACAAGAAGGGCCATGAAGGGGCCTGCCCCACCGTCCGGGCCACCGTGGCCCAGTTTAACCTTGTGGCCAATGCGGTGATCTTCTCGTGCCTGTGGGACACAGGGCTGCGTGCCACCCAGCGGGCGCGGCTCCTGGAGAAGTGGATCCGCGTGGCAGAGGTGGGTCCCAATTCCGCCCTCCCCAGAATGCCCTCCTGGAGCAGAACCCAAGAATGCTTCTCTCTCTCCTGGCAGGAATGCCTCCTCCTGCGCAACTTCTCCTCGCTCTACGCTGTGATCTCTGCACTGCAGTCCACACCTTTGCACCGGCTGAAGCGGACCTGGGAGGAGACGTCCAGGTGGGGTGAGAAGGGGGCAGGAAGAAGCTACAAACTGCCCATCGTTCCCTCGCCCCATGCAGAATGCCAGATCTGGGGGGCGAGAGGAAAACAGGCCCTTGCCCCTTGCGAGCGGCTGACTGAAATCACCGGTCGGCAACTGGAAGCACCCCGGCCATGATGGAGGTGTGGGGGAAATGGGAGATCCCAGCTGGAAATTGGGGAGGGCGTTGCTTCTTTAATGTATTTTTATGTTGCTTGTTGGGCATTATCTCCTTAAAGTAGTTTTGGAATGATTGTCAATATTAAGGTGTTGCGATAACACAGAACCAGTTCATATAGGAAAATGTGCCTTAATCGCTAATCTTGAAAAGGCCGAGTCACTTTTCAAGAGGTGCCTAAAGGCCCCCCATGAATAGGGCTGGCAGAAGAGCATTCTGGGAAGCAGGTTCCATCCCAGGAGGGCCCAGGTCTCCGCCCCTGAGAGCCGCAGAGGAGCAGTGGAGAGCAGGCTCTGTCCCAGGGAGCCCCAGCGGTAGCGCTGAACGTTCCTGTGGGACCAGGCTGGTCCACCTCATCCTGGGGGACTGGGGTGGGGTGCTCCCCTCTTTAAGGGAGTCAGGCGTCTTCTCCACCGGCAGGGATTCTGCCCGTTGCTACGAGGAGCTCAGCGCCATTTGCTCGGAGCAGGATAACTACAGCCAAAGCCGGCAGCTCCTTTTCCAGGTAGGTCCCTGCGGTGCTCTCCTCGCTGCGGTCAAAATGTGAGTTGGGGTGCGATAGCGGGACAGCTGCAGGGGAGGGGTGGAATTTTCCCTGCAAGTGCAGGGAATTGGGAAGGGGGAATAAATCTGCTTTTAATAGAAGAGAATCTCTGTAGCTCAGGGATGAACTGCGGAGTCCTTGGTGCTCTCTGAGCTTGGTGGTTTGCTTGCAGACGTTTCGTTACCCAACTAAGTAACATCATCAGTGCGAGTGAGTGTGGGGTTTGCTCCCTGTCTATGTACCGTAGCTGGCCCTGTCAGTGTTGTTGGAGGGGTTGGGGGTTTTCTCCCTGGTAGTTCCCTGAATAGGGTATTGTTTTCTGCCTGATTGTGTGTCTGGTGTTAATCCCTGCTTATCTGGGTAGTGGCTGTTGGAAAGGATGTGCTCTGGTCTTTTTATTGTTCTGAATTTCCTTTTGAACAGAATATAGATATTGTTTATCTCTATGTGCCTGTTGATGGCCGACTGGTCTGAATACCAAGTAATTCTTCCAGGAATTCCCTCACGTTTTTGGATTTAGCTTGGTCTAAGATGCTGACAGTTTCCCAGTGGAAACTATGGTTGAGTCTGTCCACGTGCGGTGAGATTAAGGAGTTTTCATCGTGTCTTCTGACTGCTGGTTGGTGCTCATGGATGCGCTCTGCCAGCCTTCTGCCTGTCTGTCCTGCATAGTGGCCGTTACGGTCCTTGCACTGTATGTTGTAGATGACTCCTGTTTTTCCTTCTTGGGCTACTGGGTCTTTTGGTCTGCTTAGGATATTTTGGAGTGATTTTGTTGGTTTGTGTGCTGCAGAGATGCTGTGTGGTTGTAATAGTCTGTTGGTGGTTTCTGAGATGTTTCTGATGTATGGCAGTGTGATC